ATCCAGCCTCCGTTGCTGCCACACTAGATCAAGCCACCATTGTCTCCCGCCTAGGTTATTCCAGTAGCCACTTAAGGTCTCTCTCCTTGGTCATGGTCCCAACCCCCAGTCTGTTCTCAATCTAGCAGTAAGAATGATTCTTTTAAAACATTTAATCAGATCTTGTCCCTCCTCTGCTGAAAAACCTCCAATTGCTTTTCCATCTCAGAGTAAAAACACCACTGAGCTACCTGTTAACTCTTGGACCCGCTGTCCTGTTATTATCTCCTCTTTCTTTCTACTCTAGTCACACTTGTTTTCTTGTTTTTCCTGGAACACAGTAGGGTCTTTGGACTTGCTGCTTACTCAGGCTGAGATGTTCTCCACAGATCATCACATGATTTCACTTTTTCAAATGTTTGCTGAAAAGTCAGCTTCTTAGTGGGGTCTTCTCTGATCATAGTATTTAAAATTACCCCTGTATCTGCTTCAGCATTACCTATTCCCCTGCTTTGCTTTAGTTTTCTTCAGAACACTTACAGCCATTGAATGAATGGAGATACACACACACACATACACACACACATGGAGATATCTCCGTGTGTGTGTGTACATATCTGTCTCTCCTAGAATAAAAAATCCAGGAGGATAGGGAATTTTGTTTTGTTTGCCACTATATCCTCAGTACCTATAAAAATGGTTGGTCTGTTTTCGGTGATTAACAGATAGGTCGAATTAATGATAAAGATTACAAAGAGTGAATGTACCAAGAGGAGAGGCAGAAGAACCTGAAAGTAGTGCTATGGGCTGCACTCTAAAGGGTGTATAATATGTTGCATTGATTACATTTTTTTTTTTTTTTTAAAGATGACCGGTAAGGGGATCTTAACCCTTGACTTGGTGTTGTCAGCACCAGGCTCTCCCAAGTGAGCTAACCGGCCATCCCTATATGGGATCCGAACCCGGGGCCTTGGTGTTATCAGCACCGCACTCTCCCGAGTGAGCCACGGGCCGGCCCTGATTACATATTTTTAAAAGTAAAGATAAAAATTTATTTTTTAGAAAGCGAAGCTCATTTGTTTCAGTGACAAATTAAGTCAAAAATTGCACATTAGGGCTCGTTGAAACCACTTCAAAGCACAGTCTTACAGGAATGTAACTAAAAAAGGAAAGAAATAAAAGTTTGGTATGTGTAGGCATCATCTTAGCCGAAAGCCAGTACCAGCGTGGAAAATCAGTAAAACGAAAGGTGATATAGAATCTTGTTTTTCTCCTGTGCCTCTTGTATTGGAAGAGAAATTGTCTACTTCAGTTTGATCTTTGTTCTTTTGGGGGAAAAAGTCAAATTGTTGTTAGTTTTCTCTATTTCATTAATTAAAGCGTCACTTGGTTGCATTCTGTGAGATAGCTTCTTAATTTCATGTATCAGATTCTGGTAAACTTCTGAATCATAAAAAATTTTATTTAGTGTTCATCCTTATTTTTATAAATCTTATATGTTAGTTATTTGCACAATTAGTAATCCTTATATAGTTTCTAATACAGGTTCCTTGAATTGGACATTTCAGGGACTAGTAAAAGAAAATTTTACAGAATAGGAACACCAACAGGCATCTCCAGTTTTTATTGTTGTTGCTATCCTAGTCACCATTATTTCATAAAAGAAAGGACAGCACTTAAAAATAGGGAAGACAATTTTAGAATAAAAGACAGTCTTATTGTCCTTATTTTTATTATTTTACCTTGGGCTTCAGATTGTATTAACACTGGTCTACAGTCCAGAATTTGGGAACAATTGATCTGTAATATAACGACTCACATTTAACAATAATCGTGTATTGAATAAAATACAAATTTAACTAGGATACTTAGAAAAGAATACTTAGTAAATATAATGGTCACAGGAGGCCTTGGAGGACATTATCAGGTTGTCACAATAGTAGTTACACAAAAAAATTGTAAGGAAAAGCTAAAATAGGTTCAGAAATAAACATAGTAAAGAAATTAACCTTAGTATTCGTTTAATATCCCCATTTTTTTTTTCTTTTTGTCTTTTTTATTGACCGGTAACGGGATCACAACCCTCGGTGTCACGCCCGCACTGGGGACTGGCAACGGGATCGCAACCCTCGGTGTTGCGCCCGCACCACGCTCAACCAGTGAGTGGGAACCGGTCTCCACGTGGGATCCGAACCCTCGGCAGGAGCGCCGCCGCGCTCCCAGGCGGCACACTCTCCAGTGCACCATCGGGCCGGCCCCAATATCCCCATATTTTTAATTACATAATAAGAGCAAACCTTTACTGAGTACTTATTACTTGCCAGGTATTTTGCCTAGCACTACTTACTTGGATCATCTAATTTAATTCTAAATTGGATTAGAATTAAATTATAATTAACTATGAGGTAGATAACATTACTATTGAACTTATTTTGGTTGGATGCATTTTTTTTCTATACGAGATAATCAACATTATCACAGAACTAAACTATAAATCTTGGATGACAATATAAGTGCTGTGGCAGCATTTTATTAAAATTTTAACCTGAATGAATGAGGATTAAGAATATTTCAAGTAATAAATCTTTCTAACGTCAATTCTGCCACAGCAGTGGCGCTGTTTGACCTCTTCCACCTATCCAGGCTTCCAGCCTTTTCAATTATGATTGAAATTCATCCAATAATCATTCAATTGCGAAATAATATGGGCAAGACAGAATTGCAGGTATTGAGGATATATATACATATATATTAGATGGGAATTCTGTTTTCAACAAGTTTTCTGTAATCTAGTTAGAGAAGATATGCTCACAAAGAAAAAGCTCATCGTTTTAAGGCAAAATTATGTCAGATAAAACATAGAACATAGATCTGCAAACAGCTGCCCATGGGCCAAACACAGGTTGCTCCCTGTTTTTATACAACCCATGAGCTAAGACTAGTTTTTGTATTTTAAAAATTGTAAAACCACCACCACAACAAAAAAACATAGCAAAGAAGAATATGCGACAGAGACTGTATGGCCCATAATGCCTAAAATATGTACCCACTGGCTCTTTACAGAAACAGTTTGCCAACTCCTGGTCTATAAGATAAGCCAGTTAGGAGATTGTCTATAGTATGTTTAGTGGGTTGGTGTGGTCTGAGAGGACCTTGCAGAAAAGCTAGAGTTTACATTGTACTGTAATTTGAATTGGCAGAGAAGGAAGAGGTGTCTGCAAAGATGGATGGGGTTCAAATTCTACAATATACCAAACATGATCTAAACGGTAGTTGGCCATTGTTGTTGGTTATGTTTCTTTGGGAAGGTTTTTGGGGTTTTTTGATTGTTTAGTTTTTACCATATTTTTTTTCTTCCCTTGCATGTTTCATACTTGCACTTTCCCCTTCTATAAAATGATTAAAGTCCCTATTGTCCCATTATTTATGGCCTTCTACAATCTGATCTTAATCTGTTTTTCTAACCTTGTGTTCTACTGGACACAATAACATGGAAAAGGAAATCATATACGTATGTTAAACACTGGTACTAAAAAAAAGAATGGTTTTAACAAAAGACAATAAGACAGAGTGTAAAGATTCTTTAGAGCAGAGGTTAGCAAGCTATTTCTGTAAAGGGTCAAATAATAAATATTTTTGGCTTTGTAGGCCAACTGTTTAACTCTGCTGATATAACAGAAAGCAGCCATAGACATATGTAGATGAATAAATGAATGAGTGTAGCTGTGTTCCAATAAAACTTTATTTACAAAAATCAGGTGGCTGGACACATTTGGCCCACAGACCATAGGGTATTTCTAGGCACTTAAAAGTACTTTAAATGTCAATAGCACTGATTCTTTCTTTAAAAATATACTTTTTTTTTGTCCTTTTTGAGACCAGCCGCACCACGCTCAGCCAGTGAGCGCACTGGTGGTCATCCCTATATAGGATCTGAACCCGCGGCGCTCAGGAGCGCCGATGTGCTTGGGAGTGCCGCACTCTCCCGAGTGCGCCACGGGCTCAGCCCATAAAAATATACTTTTTGAAAATAATTGAAAAATGAGTGCACATAGTAAAACATTGAACAGTACAAAAGGGTTTATAGTGGAAAGTCATCCGGCTGTGAACTCTACTCTCCTATATCCCCTCTCTAAGGCAACCAGTGCTACCAGTTTCTTGGCTATCTTTTCAAAGTTACTCTTTATTTATAAGAATACATACATATATTCGTGGTAATAAAAATAGTAGCATAAAGAACATACACTATTCTGTATCTTCTTTTTCATATGAATACACATGTAGACACACTACCTTGTTAATACAAATAGTGTATTATACACACTTTTGTAGGTTAATTCTTTGATTTTTCAATATGTCTCAGAGATATATGCCTCTGCCTTAGTTTTTTTTAAGAATTTTCAGTATTTTGTTTGAAATACATGTAATAATTTATTTAACTAGTCATTTTGGATATTTAAGTCTTTTTTCAATTGCTGACTTTATAACATTGATTTCTATCCAGTGCCATATCTGAGACATTAACATCTCTTTCTCTCAATTCAGAGTACTACTCACGCTGTTTATATATGTGCATGTGCCATGATTTAAAATACTTTGGCTCCCTTATGGAGTGAGATCGTATTCCTTTCACTCAGCAGGCAGCAGAATCTAGCCAGCTAGGGCCTTCATTTTGGGTCATATTGTACTTCATCATTGAAGGAGTAAAGACATTTTTCTGGTCTTCCTATTTCTCCTTCTCAAATTAAAGGCAAACATTTTTATCAGGGCTAAATTTCTCTCACATACTGTTTCAAGATATCACTCATTCTCCTAATTCAATAATCATGGGAGCTGAGTAGGAGATGGGAATAAAGAGGAATTCCCATGATGGAGAAGGAGGAGGAAAGGACACTAGCATTCTAATGCAAATAGTTTCTTACCACTCACCAACTCGTGGTTTGTTCCCTGCATCACACGCAGAGCAGGCATATCATATTGAAGAAAGTTGTTGACTTGAATTAAATCTGTTGCTTTCAGTTGTCTGGACGTGGAGCAGTGTTCTCTTAAGGTATTGGAGCCTGAAGGAAGCCCAAGCCTATGTTTACTGAAGCTAATGGGTGAAAAAGGTTGTACAGTCACAGAACTGAGCGACTTCCTGCAGGCAATGGAACACACTGAAGTTCTTCAGCTTCTCAGTCCTCCAGGTAGGTTTTTCCCTTAGGAGTATTCTCCAGGAGTTCATGGAGTCAGACTTATAGGAAAATACCTCATTTGACCGAGTGAGTTGCATTAAATATTTCTGGAAAATATAAATGTGTAGAGTCTCATTTTTTCCCCTGGGTTGAGACTAAAGAACACATAAAAAGCAAATATAGTGCATGAACATTGATTGGATTGTGGTTTAAAAAACCAACTATAGGAGACATTTTTGAGACAGTTGGAAAAATTTGAGTATAACCTGCATATTTGATATTAGGGAATTATTATGTGACAATGATTGTGTAGTTCTACAGAAGAATGTCCTCTATTCCAAGGAGATGCATGCTAAAATATTTAGGGGTAAGAGTTATACAACATGCATTGAAATAGTGCAGCCAAAAAAATGAGTACTCATTTATTTCTATGTGTGTGTGTGTGTGTGTGTATATATATATATATATATACTCAGATGAGATAAAACAAGTATGACACATGTTTATTTTTATGGGTTTTGTTGACATGATGCTTTTGAGATGTTGATTAACTCAATCATATGAATTTTTCCTGAATATACCAATATTGAGTGAGGCTTCTCACTTCCAAGGTCAGGAGGAATGGTGAACAGTCCCTCCTCTCCATAGCTGCAGATAGAGTTAGTTTACTGCAGTGGTGCTGGGCAGGAGGGATGTGCCATCAAAGCTTCCTGATGGCAGCCCCACTGCAGGCCTCCTTTCCTAGGCGTCCAGTTGGCCTTCATGTGTCCCACTGGAAGTTAAGAGGCTGGTAAAGGTTGGAAGGGCCATGGACTAAGTACACGATGTTCCGTTTCACATGATTTTGACATGTGCCATTTCATTATATAACCAGCTCAATTGTGTTATATTTTAAAGCTAACATGGGGAACCTAAAACTATCATTTAGATCTTGTTTTTTACTTTGTTAATTCTGGGGTTGGGGAATTAAGGACACATGATATAGTGGTGTGCTGTCAATTACATGAACCAAGAAGCCCCAATTCAAAGGGGCATGATAAAGGGAATATATTTCTTCTTCCAGCTGAAAAACCTAGAAGCTGGTTGGGCTTCAGGAGAAGCAGGTGCAGCCCTGTCTCTGGGGACTTGGTCTGTTTTTGTCTTTGCTTGTCCTCTCTTGGCATTGGCTTCCTTCCAAGGCTGACTCTCCACATAGTCCAAGGTGTCTGCCAGCTGTTCCTGGGCTCGTTCACCTTTGTCCTTGATGTCCCAGCAAAAATCAGAAAGCTCACTCTAGTTAACTAGTTTTGGTCACATGCCTGTCCCTAAGCCTATCACTGTGGCCAAGGAGATGGAATGTGCTGATTTGCCTGGCTTAAGGCCAGGAGTGGAGTTGGGTTGAATCAGCTTTCCAGGAGACATGGATCACCAAACACAGTTGGCCCTGTTGGAAGGAAAAAGGAAGCAACAGATGCTGGAAGGTAACCAGAAAGTCTACCACAAAGGGCCCTGGATCGTGAGGAGGAAACTTGGGCTTCAAGGTCATCCTCTGCATTACAAGGCCTAATGAAGATGGTGCAGTAGGCCTCCTGTCAATGCTTCCTTTGTGATATGCACTGTACTGGATGCTTGACTTTTGTTTCCCAGTGCCTCTTTGTACCAAGAGGTATGGGATAGGAATAACTAGCTGCTAATGCAGCCTCCCCCCAGCCCCCAAATACAACTGTTACCTGTCACCCAACAGTAAACTTCTTAAGGTGGCATTTATTAATTTTTATATTCCTAGTGCCTCAAATAGCACCCAGTTGTGACTATTGAAGTCTACCAGTCTAGGGGACACTAAATGAGTTACTAAATTCTCTTACTTTGTGGAATACCAGGGCCTCTGAAAACTTAAGTCACCTCTCTGGGAAGTAATATAACTTTTATATCTCATTCTCTTTTTCAGTAATTTCATGTAATTACTCTGACCATTAATTGCCAAGTCTACAAATGTTCTCTACCTCGCAGAGTTGTAGGAGTTACATGAAATAATGCTGTGTTGAATTGCATTTAGACAACAGGGGCCTCACATCTCATGATTTGTGGTGAGATCATTGGCTTGAGATCTAGGGTTTCCGATTTTTAAAGCTTCTTATATGTAAAACTGGGATGATTGAATTGAGTCATATTTATTTGTATGTAATGATCTGCCTGATGTTTTAAGGCAATATTTTATATTTTGATATTTGACAAACCAGCAACTAATTAAGTGCCATCCAAATAAACATCAGTACTCTTCCTTTGAAAAATCCATTTTTGCTTTTTGTGTTTTTCTCCAAAGTATGGGATTTGCACTTTCCTGTCAGTGTTCCCTTGTACAGATTGTTCTGATATTTGACCTATAGGCTTTTTCAAGATTATCCTGTAGGACTTTTTTGCATTTGAAGGGAGAATGGGAAATAGAAGGCCGTTTCTATGTTACCACTTATGCACTGTTTCAGTGAAGTTTTATGTCACATTAGCCGTATAGTAGCCATAGGAACCAGTTGTTACTTGAGTGTTAATTATTGATTTGAGAGGAAATATTTTGGGATCTAATAAAGCTCAGTAATTTTAGGAAGAAGTAACCAATTTATTGTTAGCTTATTATCTGCATCTAATATGGATAATCTAAAACTCATTCTATTCGTAGATATTAGAATAAAGAAATTAAGAATTATAGAAAAGAATTTAATATTTAATAAAGATATTGAGAATAAAAACTATTGTTATATTAAGAACATAAGCTCTGATAGAATTGACTTAATTTGTGATTTTGCTCATTCATTCAGTAAACATTTAGTATATAGTGATGCCTTTGCTATTCCAGGTATTTTGTTAGGTACTGAGAATTCAAAGATGAATAAAACAGTAGTTTCTGTCTGCCAAAAGGTTATGGTTTACTAGGGGAGACAAACATGTAAATGACCACATCCAGAACTACAGTTTTGCTAGCCAGCAGCAGAGGCCAGAGATACTACCTCCCCTTCCCAGAACTGGCCAACAGGTCTTCAAGGTCTCCAGCAGCTGGAGAGGATTGTCTGAGCCCACCAGGCACTGGGGTGGGGCAGGGCATGTGTTATTTAAAAGTTACAGTGCAGAGTTTTCTCCAATAAAGGTAGATTGACATTCAGGAAGAAAAAAAAAGGACAATCATAAAAACAAGTATGTATAAAATAAGTTTATCTAATCTGGTTTTTCGTTTTTGGTATATTCTTGAATCTTGGTGGATATCCAAAGCGAAAATATTCTAATGTTTTCTCTTTTCGTGGTAATGCCATTTACAGGAAGACATTAGTTCTTACTCCACAGGAAATCTGAGGAGGTGATTTTTCTCTGATTGTCCTCACAGAGAAAGGCCTGGTTTAGGTTAGTAAGATGAATTCTGCCAAAGATGCTGTGAGCCTCTGAACAGACCTTTCAAGTCTAAATACAGGGAGAAGGGGAAACTTTAGATTTTTGATAAAGGAAAAACTTCAGTCTCATCTGCCATATTCCATTCTAGTTGTTTGTATAACAATAGCCAGAGGTAGCTATAACTGTAGTATGCAATGTCTCTGTTTTTTGAGAAACTGACCAATTTTTTTTTTTAGTGTTTGTTTTGGTAGCCCAGGCTAGTGAGGGCAGCGTTCCCATGACTAGGAGCCATCTTGTGTGGTCACCCAGCACGAAGTCTAAGTTGAGTGTAAACTCACCCCAAAACCCTTGCTCCCTGTGGGTTCTGGCCTCTGATTTGTTTTCTGAAGGAGCCCTGAGGAGCGAGGTTCATCCTCTTCTGCCTTCTCTCTCATCAGCCTTGTGCACAGCACACGGCTTGGCCAGCTTGCCTCTCAGCCTGGTCTTGCTTGACCGATGTTACAGAAATTGCTTCCAGTTTTTATGTGCAAATGGTGTCCATCCCCATTTTTCATCACTAAGAAATTGTTTCCCTATTTATTCCCTTGGTCATCTCAGTGGGAATTGGAGAAGGGGATTAAATGGATGTGCTGAAATGGTTTTGAACCAGAAGTCTGTAATGATTTTTTTTTTTTAGACCTTTATTCTTTTATTTAAGCTTCAAAGACTCTGACCTCAAAACAACCAATGTTGACATCTGTACTCATGGCAAATGTAGATAAACTTAGATGTGCAGTTCAGGATGTTTTTATTCGTTTCATGTTAAGTGAAAACGTTCTCAGATTTATAGGCTCAATAAATTATAGTTACTTAGATCACGAAGTGGTTGTCTGAGGAAGTAGTACCCTTACCTGGAATTGGGAAAGTAGAGCTGGACAGTGGAGGATATTTAGAGAGAATTAACATTTTATCCATGGGTTTCATTAGGGTGCATCCTAAGTTTCTTTCCAGCCCATTTTGTGACATTGCCATTTTATCTCATTCTTCATGTAAAAGGTCTGTCACTGAGGGTATGTATCAGGCGGCTATGGCAGGGTCAAATAATTTCTCTCCAGTGACATCTTTTCCATTTGCCCCCACCCCTTTTTTATTTCATATCACATTTTCCCTCAAATCTCTTGTAGCATACTCATTGTTATATTTCTGATATCAATTTTTTTACTTTTATTATCTCTAAGATAAGTGCAAAGATTGTTGAAAATTATTCTTTAGTTTCCAGAATATCTTTACCTCACATTTTATCTTCACAATTCTTTGGGGAAACAGAACAGTACTATTATAAATATTTAAATTTTACCAGCAAACCCTCATGTGGAAAAAGATTTCCAAAAGTTACCACTTGGCCAGAGTAGCAGTTAGTTTTTGACAAAGATAGGATTAAAAACCAGGTCTCTCGAATCTGACCTGAACTCAAGGCCATTTCTGTAATGCTAGAACATTTGTAGGTTGAGAAACTTAGTTATGGATTATTACCTCAGTTGCCTCTTTGACCCATGAACTTTAATTTTTTTTCTTCTTGCCATGTTAAAAAGTACTCAAATACTATATCTTACTTATAACAGGGTTTTCTCATCTCGTGAACATCAGGAAGTTGGCAATTATTCCTGAAAGGAAAA